TTAATATATTGCTTTTATTACAGATACTAACAATTTGTAATGGGCAAGATGTTTTGTACCTAAAGTGATTGAACTAATAGGTTTTATTTCCTCTTTCCCGCATCTTTTTGTTTTGTAATGTACGTAATTTTTTAGTACAGTACTATCTATAAATTTTAAAGAAATATACATATATTGAGGGCACTTACTCAAAGTTTCTACTCTTAGTATTTGTACCAGAAATTTTGCAAGCTTATTAAAAACTGAGTCAAAGTACCCTCAATAAACACATTATATATATAAATGAAAATTTGAGAACTCGCTTTCCTCGTAAACTTTAATTTAAAACTGCCTCTTCCTCATGATAGGCTTTTGTAGTTCATTCAGAGGAAAAGAACATTGCTACTATAGAGTAAACAATAAGTGTTCAAACTCTGAAAAGTAACGAATATCGTGTGTGTGTGTGTGTGTGTGTGTGTGTGTGTGTGTGTGTGTGGAGTGGGTGGGTGTTTTCTTTTGAAATGTGTATATTAAACTTCCTTTAAAGAATCCACTTAAAAACAAGGAAGTTCCAGAAATCATGTGGTTAGTCCTTTGCTCTCAGACAGGTAAATAAATGCTTTAAGTCACTTAAACACAGGCATGTGCTTTCTCAGTCTCTATAGCCATCTTGCTGGTGGTGTTCATGAACCAGCCAAATTTTCCGTAAGCAGGTTGGTGAGGGCTACAGTTCTCCAGGCAAGCAAGTATCAGGTCAGCTCTGCCTGGCGGCTCTCACTGTGTCTGCCACAAAAGGTTCACGTGAGGCACAGGCATCAGCAGGGGTTAGCTGATCACTAAGCTGGAGTCAGGATTCATGACTGTGCCTAGGGAGCCATCACAGGCTATTGGATTTGCCAGGCTTGTTTGTCTTTTTGATATAAATGCGGGGCCTGCCTCTAGAATATTGCTAATCCATCTAGAAACTGAGCATCTCGATCTCATCTTTCTTCACTCTTCTCGCATTTGTTATGCTAATCAAAATCATTAAACTCACCTAGGAAGATCCAGTTCTAACATTCCTAATTAACAACCTCTGGTTTGCAATGAAAATGCCTGCAGCACATGTACAGTAAGTAGTAGCTGCAACTGGAGTATGAGTCCCAGGATTCTGTTCCTGTTTGGGGCTCTTAACCTCCACAGACACCAGAGTATAGATAAAACCTGACACACATCTTACTGGCTATGCTGAAGTGTTTTAAAGGTACGTTGTAGATTATCTAACAATGTTGTGCTGATTGCCTTTTAGCAGAACTTTTGAGTTTCCTGGAAATAGGAGACATGACTATAAAAATACAGGATTAAAAAAAAAATACATGTACAGATTGAAATGCATGCCCTTAAGGTAAACACATTGTTTGGTATCCACAGACATCTCTGACCATTTTGAGGATTGTTGTCTGTGCCAAATATAAATATAAAAAACATATACTAGGTTTCATGTTTGACTCATAAAGATATTTTTTCTTCCTTTTTTTTTTTTTTGGTTATGAAATTTGATCTAGATTGAAAGAGGATATGAAAAAAGGTGGAAGCAATGTTTGATGGACACTGACCACAAAGGAATGTCAGATTTCTCATGAGGGGTTCTTTGGGAAGCCCTCTCCCTCCACTGCCCTCCAACCCCCCAAAAAACAAAAAACAAACAAAAAAAGAATTGAGTTGAGGCAATGCAGTAGAGTGTGAAAGGACATTTTCTGACAGGGTGAAGTTTCAGGCTCTGGTTAGCCTCAGCCTTACACTCATTGTTGACCCTTAGAAGTCACTTGTACCCCCTGGACCCAGATCCTTTGTGAGTTAAAGAAGAGAGTGAGACCTAGGAATGCATGGAGTTTTTCCTTATGGTCTAGTAATATGTTCCTTTCCTTAAAATATTTTCTTTATCAGATAAGTTTGAGAAATACTGAATACCATGTCCCTGTCTTTAAATATTCATAGCGAGCATTGCAGTCTTAAAGGCTAAAAAGTAAGAGGCCCAATGAGTACGGAATCTTGTCTTTATTTATAAAGATCATGTTTCTCAATATTGGATCACAGAATCCACTCTACCCCCACGACCTGGTAACTGCCCTTATAGTTGGTGTTTATAGCAGGACTAGATGCTCTCCAAAATTCCTTTCAGCTCTACAATGGATGCATTGTTCTAAAAATAGTTTTAAACTATATTGCCGAAGCCTGTAATTTCCCCCAGAAGGCTCAGCAAATAACCATTGTGTGAATTCCTTGGTATCAGGGAGATGCATAATTTATGATTGTGTTTTCCCCCCAGGACCTAGGATTCTGTTTTGTATAATAGATGCTTGGTGTAGAATTAAATTGAGTGTATACAGATATTTGTTAGTAAACTTGAAATACGGTTTCTCATTTTGGGGGTCTGAAAAAGTTACATTTAGACATGAATTAAAGATTTGAACAAAGTCCAGGCAAGAAAAAATATAAACAGTAATAATGAATAAATTGCTAATGTTCATTAGGGCTCCTTATGTTTCAAATACAGTGTAAGCATGTTGCAGGTTAGCTCACTTATTCATAAAAACTATGTATGGTTCTCAATCCCAATTAAATTGCTTAAAATTATTAATTAATTAATTGACCCGTGAAGAAGCTGAAGCTTGGCGAGAGGTTAAGGGCTTACTGAAGTCTGGGCTGATAGATGACGGTGCCTAGTTTTTGAGCTGGGCAATCTGGCACCAGAGCTGAAATCACTGTTACCAAATCCTTCTTCCTCTTACATTTAACATACTCAAGAGAAAAAATTGAGCCACTACTAATCAAAAAAAAATACAGAACGAAACCTTAGTGGTGTCCCATTTTACTATTGTAATATTAACAAAAATAATTACACGATATATGAAGATGTAGTATATAATTAAGATAATTATTTAGTAAATGTAGAGAAAATGATATTCAAAGATTACCAGTAGCAATATGAGTAAGAATAGTCCATTTGTAAGGCAATCAAGAGCCTAGAAATTTATATGTTTTGATCCAAGACTCTTGACTCTTGGGAATTCCAGTGACATGCTTTAAAAAGCCAAGAGAAAACAAAGCTGTGAGTATATTCCAAAGTGTTCATAGCTCATGTTTATAATAATATAATTTGGAAATACCCTTAGTATCCAATCGCAAGGCACAAACTAATTGTGTCCCCACCCAGTGAAGACTCTTTGATAGTCATCAAATGGTAAAAGCAGATTAGAAGTCCGAATCCCAGCTGCTGTTTTATCTGAGCACAATTATAAGGCAGTCGTATCCTTGGACAGGCATCAGAAGGGAACACGAAAATGATATGTGTACCTGGACTGGGACTGTAAATGGTTTTTTGTTTGTTTGGAAATTATCTTTAATGCTTTGCAAACATATTTAACTGGAGCTTATATTGGAGGATTCGGGCCATTTTTTTCTCAATTTGCAATGAAAAAGAATTCCTGAAGTGATAATTAAAATTTAAATATTATGAAAATGTTTGAATAAATACCTGCCCCCCCCGCCCAATAGAAGGATGATCACTAAATCATTTTGGATGTGTGCTTCTCCACCTTTTTCAGTGCACATTTACAGTTTATTTGGAGGCTTGTTTTGGTTTATTCTGTACAAAGTGAAGTGCAGCTCATCTCCGAATTCCGTTTCATCTCAAAAACCTTTTTTTGTGTCATGACATAGAGAATTCCTTCATTCTTGGCTTTGGTCATCATTTCAAATTCAGCAAATATACCTAAATGTAATTTAGATAAAATGAAAATGATAACATTTACCATTCAAATGAAGCTTCCTAAATCTAGTATTATGGAATTAGAATTTCTGGGACCTGAGAAGCATTCATACCTCAGATCACAAATGAGTCTCTGAGGATGGAAGAGGCTTCTGTGATCTGTCTTAGGGCTGAAGCCATCAGGAGGAGAGTTTGTCATATTTATACCCTCAGGAAGATTTGGAAGGTTCTAAGCCTCCTTGAAAGGTTAGGAGGTAGGGCGAGGTATAATTCAAAGGTGTTAATAACTGGATTCAGTGTTGTTTTTGGCCAGAAAGTGAGACCGTTCTGTTCCCTCTGCCCCCTGGGGAGTCAGCCTTGGGTTGAGCTGACTGCAGCCTTAGGTTGAGCAGTTTACCACCTCTTTCCTGCTGGTAAACTGGAGCAAATGACTATTTTCAAAGCAGCTAGAGCCCCAGTTTCCTTACTACTCAGAGAATAAAAGTAGCTACTTAAACAGTTGTTGTGTGAATTAAAGAGAAAATATATGTAAAATGCTTGGCAAAGTACTTGCTAACTTCTATTAACAATTTCCTTAATTCTGAGAATACTTCAAATATAAAAGCACCATCAATTTAATATTGGGTTTTAAAGGAAATTAAAAAAAAGAAACACCACCATAGTAATGAACACTTTGTATCAGTGCATCAAATACCTATCAATTTTAAAAAAGTCAGTGAAAGAAAAACTTACATTCTCAGATGTGGGGGAGGAAGAAACTGTCCTCTACCTTCTAGGCTCTTTAGGTTGGTCTAATCAAATAGACATGAGAAAGATTAACAAGAGAAAATGGCCACATTTAATTACATATGTACATAAAGGAAACCCACACACATGAGACAGTTAGAGACCCCACATATACAAGAGGTTCAGAGATAAAAAGAAAAAGATAATATATTGTGTTCTGAGTTAAAGGTGAGGTAAGGCACCCCTGGAACTTTAAAGCGGAGGAAGGTCATTTGCAGGAAGAGCAGGTGTTCAGTAACTAGAAGTTTGCCCTGTGCTATAGATATCATAAAAAATTATCTTTGATGATAACCCTTATTATGAGCAAGGCCTCTAATATAAATTCTTTAAGGGAGAGGTGAATGTTTCTTGCGAGCCCGTGGGGTCTCGATTGCCTTCAGCTCAAAATAATTCACATGCCAAAGTGGCACATCTTAAGGAGGACTGTTCTGAACCCCTGCACAGACTTGTGGATATATAGTCTGATTAGTATTTTGTCTTGCAGCAGGACTTGCCTGTCTTCCCCCACTCTCCTGATGCTCAGCCCAGTTAGCGCTCAGCCTCCTCTCTCCCGGTCCATCACTCCTCTGCTGAGGAACAGCAAAGCACTTTCTCACTGAAAAGGTGGAAATCTCCTAACCAAACCCAACTGCTCTTGTGACAAGTGAGGCGACCAGGGTATAGACAGATTAAGAAGGTAAGGTCAGTCATGAAGACTGGATGAGAGCCACTAAGTATGAGGCTGTTTGTTTGGGGTTTCTTTATAGAAATCCTGTAAAACCCAGCACACAGTGCTTTGTATTCATAGTACACTCTGTGACACACTATAATTTAAAACATTTAAGTACTGTACTTTAGTTTTCCTTACCTGGAAAAGTCTATGAGCTAGAAGGCACATTTAACAAAAAGCATCCAAGATACTGCCCTACTTTTTTATGGGAGAAAGGGAGTGGATTTTGAAATATTTGGATATATATTTTTTTGAGTTCTAATCCATTGAGTAAGCCTGTGTTGGGCCCAGGGAGCATCGTGAGCAGAGGGAGTGGGTAAGAAGCCTAAGACTAGATCCCCATTACCAGGCGCTCAGTAAGCACATGCATGGGTGTGTTCACAGAGATGGTTATGTGGAATTAAGTGCTGAAATGAGAGTTGGTGGTGATAACATGCGCTCACTGTGTACCGATCACTCTGCTAGGGGCTTTATAGGTTTTTTAAATCACCACCAACCAAATGAGGAGGATATTCCTAACTCCACTTTTCAGACGAGGAAACTAAGGCTCAAAGAAGTTAGGTAGCTTGCTGAAGCCACACATTAGAATGTGGCATAGTTAGGACTTTATACAGTTGACCCTTAAACAAGATGAGTTTGAACTGCACGGGTCTACGTATATAGGGATTTTTTTCTATAAATACATACAGTACTGTTAATGTATTTTCTCTTTTGATTTTAATGACATTTTTCTAAGCTTTATTATAAGAATACAGTATATAATACATATGACATACAAAATATGTGTTAATCCACTGTATGTTATTATTGGTAAGTCTTCCAGTCAAACAGTGGGCTATTAGTAGCTAAGTTTGGAGGGAGTCAAAAGTTATACATGGATTTTCGACTGTGTGGAGGTTGGCACCTAACTCCTGTGTTGTTCAAGGGTCAGCTGTACTCACTTCTGTGACTTCACACTTCTGGTTTTCTCAGAGGCTTCATAATGTTGGGTTTCAAGGAAGGAGTCATCCTTGTGCTTCAAGAAAGGGACCATGAGCCAGATTTTAACATGTTGAAGGAAGTCAGGCAAAAAGAGTACTTCTCTTTCTTGGAAATGGCTAGCCTTATATTTTGCCACGTGAAATGAGACTATTTCCACTGACTTAGCAAGCCAAAGATCTAGACACATGATATGGCCCAGAATTTTAGAACTTTCTCTAAAAACAAGAAGGAATCTAGTATTATGGCATTAGAATTTCTGGGACCTAGGAAGCATTTAGGAGGCTAGAATATTTAAAATTGGATTGTTCAGAAAACCTAGGATCTATGGGCTATGCGATGAGCCCATGGGACAGAACCAGGGTCACTGTTAAGATGCCTTTGCTAAAGAATTGCTCTTGACTTGTGCACTTGCCAACCCTGTAACCTCTGGGGACCTAGTGTCCCCATCTTTAAAATTGAGTGGACAAAATGAACTTTAAAGTAGCTTTCATATGTAAAATTTTGTTCCATAAAACTATGGAGTTCTATTCTGTACTATAAACTACCTAGTATCATATAAAAATTTTATAAAAAAGAAAGAAAAAGTTTATTGCTCTTCAGTTTGAAATTTTGAAGTGAACAATGAGTTCTTTTATACTCATTTTTGGCCTGCAGTGGTCATGAGGATGAAGATTCTATAAAACGAACAAACAAAAAACAGTTATCTGTTTGTGTGTGTGTGTGTGCATAAATAGATATATTTCTGTTCCAGTCTATCAAGGTAACCCTCAGCAGATGAACTCTACTGCCTTAGGGGACTGGTTTTTCTCATTCCAAAGTTAGTTTAGCCATTACTTATACTTTAAGGAAATGGGATAGCATGGGATAAAGCCACATAGGCAATAGGAAACACACTGGTCTTTGAGAGGGAGGTAAACAGATGATCATTGTTCTTCAAATTTTCATGGCACTAAATTCAAAAGGTCTTTTTTGGGGGGGGGCGGTGGTTCAGACAACCTGGGCTCACACCTCCCTATGTTCTAATATATTTAATGTCTGTCTTCTCTTAATTTTAAAAAACTTTCTTCTAAGTAACACTGTTTGTCTAACTGCACTCACCAACTCTGAAGGTGTCTAGTGAAGTTGTAAGCCAGCTACATCTTTTTTTAATAGTAACAAAGAGGTTTAAAAAAATAATAGCCCTCAAGGTTAAAACCGTGTCACTGCTGGAGTCAGGGAAAATTCAGTATTCACATATTCACAATGTTGCACAGCCATCACCATTATCCACTTCCAGCACTTAAACAGAAACTCTGTTCTCAGTACGAAATAACTTCTCGTCTTCCCTCCCCACAGCCCCTGGTGACCTGTAGTATACTTTTTCTTTCTATGAATTTGATTACTCTGGATACCTCTTATAAATACAATCGTACAGCATTTCTGTTTCTGTGATGGGCTTATTCCACTTGACATAATACCTTCAGTTCATCTGTGATATAGTATGTGTCAGAATTTCATTCCTTTTTAAGGCTAATATTCCATTGTATGTATATACCATACTTAATTCCGATATTCCAATACAATACTGGGCATTCTGTTGACTTTCAAAGGAGTATATAAAACTTGTATGGGTCAATTCATATATATTTCTAGCACTAGATTTTATTTTAAAGAGAAGTTGGATGAAGAATATTGAAAAAGCACTGGTACTAACAGTAATGGGATTAGTGGGACTTTCTTTTTCTGTGGAAAACACAAATCTTAAGTTTTAAGGGCACATAATCATAGAATCCTGTTTGAATTGAGCAGCTTTTGCCGTGCATTTCCTCGTTTTCATTTTTGCCTCCATACTGAGCTGGAGCCAGTGTCTTCAAGCCCTCCTTCTTCAGGCACAGGCTCCACTCTGATGGCCAAGGGACACAGGCAACTTGACAGAGAAAAAAGATGGCCCTAGGAGGGGGAGGCCCTCAGTGAGTTCATTCTAGTGCATCTGTCTGGCCTTGCTGATGCCTTCATCCCATTTCCCCCTTTGCTTTTTTGATTCTATTAATGTATTATCTACAGGTTCTTGGGAAAAAGTCTAACCCGGACTAGTTATGGGTTCTTCTTTTACCCTTTCAAGTGATCATTCGATAGTTAAAGAAGGATCTAGATGAATGGAGAACATTGGTCTTTAGGCTGAACCATTCAAAGTGGTGTGTGTGTGTGTGTGTGTGTGTGTGTGTGTGTGTGTAAGGGGTGGATAAGGGAAAGGCGATCAGAGGACGAGTAACACATCAGGTCTAGTATTTGTGGTCTCTGTGTACTTACTATTTACCATACATTTGTAAAGGAAATTTCTGAAACAGTATCTTGGTTCTTATCAGTTTCCTTTCTGGGAGTGGTCTGAGCATTTTCATTATTACTAAGCAAAGCTCATTTGATAAATAAGGAGCTAGTCCAGAGGAGGACAGAGCTGGCCTTAGCGCTAGGCCACCACCACTACGGCTTCGGTGCAGAATTTTTCTACAACTTACCAGGCTATTTCTCAGATGGGCTTTTTATTATGAGTGAGTAATTTAATCCTTTGTTGTGTGTGTGTGCGTGTGTGTCCCATGCTTATCATCTCTCTTCTGATTTCTTTTCTGAACTCTTGCCCTTGTTTCCACAGACATGCTTGGAAATCTATTCATTTTTGTGGTTCACTATATTGAAAAATAGACCTTGTGCATAATACGGTGGGGAAAGAGGTGTTTAGGGCTCTGAAACATGAGTGGCAAACATTGTCTGTAATTATATTACTCACCTTCCTCTTCTTTTTAAAATTGGCTTATGTTGCACATCACTATCTCTTTCGGGCTTCCACTTCCTAAGCAAACATAGAAAGTAGGGAATGCATTTCTCTCCTGTTTCCTAGTATCTAAATCCTACCCCCTTTAAAAGATCTGGGTCAGTTGTAATTGAGGGAGCCTTTTTGGATCCTTTCTTTTCCTCTGGATGCACTTACAAATTTCCACCCTGGCATAGACTGGGGTGTATTTTATATTTCATCTTTCCTGCCAAGTCTATAGGCAGAAATGGTAGGTTTCAGTTCCTTTCCCAAGCTGTCAGCTGCTTATGTCTGTAGTTGTGCCTCCAGGGTAGAAAATGTTGAGAATAGAGAAAAATGAATACTATTTCCAGTAATGAACAAAATGCAAGAGTTACTTATTTAAGTGACATCTTGTCCTAAAGTAGTCTAATGAGTTAATGAAAAAAATTCTGTAGAACTCTTTGTGCCATTAATTCTGACGTGGAGACCTCTCCCCCTTTTTTTTCTTTTATATATGACCACACAGATGAAACCTAGTTTTACTTTATTTCATCTAACTAAAAATTGGGTACAGGGCACTAAGAAACATATAAAATTAATTTTAATATTATATTTAACCCAGTATATCCAAATTTTTATCATCTTAATATATAAGCAGTACAAAAAATATTAATGAGATATAAAAATGATACCCATATTCAATACATGTGCTATATATAATACAACAGTAATATCTAAGACAGTGAAGCCATCAAAGTAAAATGGAGTCCTATCAACAGAATAAATTTGTGTTTAATATAAAGACATTTACACTGCTTTAATTTTTTGCTTTTAATTTAAATTATGAAAATAAAAAAAAACTTAAATTCGTTTCCTGAGTCAGGCCAGCTGTATTTCAAGTGTTCAGTAGCCACATGTGGCTAGTGACTACTGAATTGAACAGCATTGCCCTGCTGTAACCATTTTCAACTTTTTACAGATTTCTTTGAGTGTGTATTTCCATATCACTAAATAACATGTTTATACTGTTTCTAGCTTTTTCAATTTTAGATTCTTCCTAATGGCTTTCTACCATTAAAGATGATTAAATTCTCTTTTATCTCCAAATTCCGTACCCCCATGTACTTACTTCCCAACCTTGTCTCCCATTCTCCCAATCAATAATTCTGAAAACTTTGTTTTCAGCATCCTTTACTAAAAATTAGTGAAGATCTCA